ACAGTGTGGCGCTCAACTGCCTGAGCCACCAGGGAGGCCCACACAGCAGTCATTTTAAACCGTTCCCTTAAGTCTTCAGTTCCACCCAACCTTCTCAGAAATGTACTATACGAGAAGACCCAGGGCCACAGTAATGAAGGTCTACTTCTCGCCATCAGACTAAAATGTCTGTGTTGTCACTTCCTCCTAACTGCCCTGCTGTCTCAAATGAAGAACATGTGCTCCCACTGGCAGTCCTTCTGTCTCTTTCAGGACCTGAATCCTGTCTTCCATACATCTTCACTATCATTTATTTCAAACAACTATATCTAAGCTTTCTTTTCTTTCATGACCGGACCACAAGAAAGGGTAGTCTCCACATGTAAACCCATATAATCCCTCTCCCGACCCTAACCTCCTTCCTTCTGAAGCACTTTCGAGTCCTTCCAACTACCAAGTCCAGCGGCTTTTCTTGGCCCAAAACCTCTTTGGCTCTCCTGAGAGCAGGTCAGAGTCAATGCAATCAAAACGAAACTTAATATTCTTCTCTTTCCCCATTCTCACCATGGCTGACTGCTTTCCTACTTCTCCTGGTTAAGCCAAAACCTCCGGGTCGCCACTGCCCCAATTTAGTTAGCAAATCCACTTCCTGCCATCACTGTCACGTCTGCAACACCCAACTCTTCCCTTTCTACTCCCCTGGCAGGCAGTGCAGGCGCCACGAACTTCAGTTAACACATTGTACCAGCCTGCAAACCATATTTTCCCTGTCTAAATATCCTTTACACACCCTGGATTGTCTAACAAATCAAAGTCAACTATTTTTGTCAGAGAATTAAGAAACTCTTAGGACTGACTGCCACCTACATTTCTAGGCATTGTGACCTTCCTCTCTTACATTTTCATTTCATATATTTCACAATTCCTCTGAACTCTGGGAAAGTTCATAGTTCCCAGAAGCCACCCCACATTTTCTCCCCTCTACGCCTGAATCAGGTCGGCCTATTTACCGGTAGTGTTCACACTGTCTTCACTTACTGAAAGTTTATTACTATTATTTTTTTAAAGATTTATTTATTTATTTATACAAGCACTGGGTACGGTCAGAAGCTCAGGAGGGTAAGAAGATTCACCAGAGCCAGAGCGGGAAACAGAACAGGCAGACCAACAAAATACACTACTGAGGGGAGCAGCAGGCGTGGCAGGAGAGGTCTGAGCACCATGTGGGACCCTTGCCGGCAGCTGGGGATGGAACCGGTGCTGCAGGGGCCGCGGGCAGCTTCTCAGCGCAGCGCTCAACCGCTGAGCCACCAGGGGAGGCCCTGAAAAGTTTATTAATTTTGGCAAGGATATCATCTTTCCCTATCTCCATAGCTGCAAGTTCTTCATTCTTTCTCTCATCTTCCAGAGTTCAGATATGCCCATCTTTTATTCTGATGTACATTTATATTATGTTACCTATGTACTTGCCTCATTGTCCCAATTAGATGTCAAGTTCGTAAGAACAGTGACGTTAAGAGCTACTATAATAACGACCACCACCATAAACAGCTCCTACCATATTTTAGGTCTGTTCAAAGCACACAACATCATCATCTCAGCAGTCCTGTGAGGGCTGTTTCTACTTTCAGATGTAGTTAGGTAACATGCCTATGGCCAACAGCTAGATTGCGGTAGAAGTTGAATTTACACTTGTTTGACTTCGAAAGCCATGCTCTTAACGACTGTGTGGTATTTCTCACCATCCACAGACTCTATCAACACTGCTGCATAAAACATCCTCTCCTTATGTCCTAGTAGGTGGGATAATTTATTCAGGTTCCCTAGGGTTGCTGAGTCTGCATGATCAATACACACATTTATAGGGAGAGGAAATGGATTGCTTAGATTAATTCCTAAAGGATGATTTCAAAAATACAAAAAAGTTTTCATAACTCAAGAGTAAACAGAATAGCAAATGCAAAGTGAGGGAAATACTGAATTCACCGGGATTAGGTAATACCCTGATTTTGTCTCTTTGGAACCATTATGTCAACGCCAATAAATCAGGGCCACTCCAAAGTCTTACTTAGATCATTTAAACCATGTTTAGAGACAACCTCCCAAATTCTCATTTCCGAGGCTCTGCCACCATCCTGGGAAAACAGAATATTGTGCTTTGGTGACAGCCAGCACCAAAGTAAATGTGTGGGCCTCCTTTCCATATGAACAGCCTAACAACATATGGCACATACAGGTATCCATGTAAAGAAGGGAGGTGCTTGTTTCTCACTGTAAGTAAGCAGCTGAGGGCTGTAATCCTTTGAGAAAAATGTCATCATACAGCTCAAATCCCATCACAACAAACACCGTTACAGCAGAGATGTCTGTATAACAAAAACCCTTTCAAGCTTTGGCTGACAGCCCATGTACTTTGAGAAATATTTGATGTGAGACTTGGAGTTCACAGTAATGGGAATTGACCTATATCTCCAAAGGTAAGATTTGAATGATTTCATCTGTAACTTCCATCCCATGATACCATGAGTTGGAGTGATGTACAATCTAAACCCAGGAGTAAAAAACTAAGCACAAAGACAGAAACAAAATCAGCCTGGCTCTTCAAGGACATATTGCTTCTTTTCACTTGGGGTGCACTCAGGTAATGGGGGCTTCTGACCAAGGCCTGAAAAGGAGCAGACCAAGGCTGTGGTCCATCTCACTAAGAAGTGGTGTGTTCAAATCTGTGCTGCTTATTAGCTGGGTAGACTGGGCTACATGTCTTAGCTTTTTCTGTACCTCAATTTCCTCATCTGTCAAATGTGACTAATACTCCTACTGTCAGGATTTCAGTAAGAATTAAATGAGATAATATGTAAAGCTCCTAACATGGGACCTGGTATACAGGCTGTGCTCAAAAATGTTAGCTCCCTTGTGGGGCCTTCCTTCTCCCTCCACAACTCCAGGCTAACACACTATTTTAATGAAGTCACACATGAGACCTAGTACAAGAAGTTAGCATAGACGTGTAGTCTCAAAGATAGCCTGGTAAAGACATTGCTCATAAGAACACCAGGAAAAAGAGAGAAAATGGAAGAAGAGCTAGGCCATGCACAAGTACTTACTTGCCTGAGAGGAAGGGCTTGTGGCTAAGGCAAGACACATGTCATCAAAAGTTAAAATGTAAGTAACCAAGCCTCATATTAACAAGGAGCTCTGATCATTACATCAGGAATCATTTTGCAGATGCTGAGCAAACTGAAATTTGGAGGCATGTTTTCTTAGTTAAGAATGTACTGTAGTCACTATTCTAAAGCACGAGCTAGCACCTCTGACCAAGTTTTCTGTGGATGTCACCCTATATGGTGGCAGAGCCAGGTCCAGTCCAAAGTATTGTGCTGTCTTTCTTTAGTACAACATTGTGAAATTTAAGTAGTAAAGCAAATTCTATTCTTCTCCATTTGGGAAATCTGTAGGTAAATTGTTTAGCAATGGGATCAATGAGGGTTCTCTAATTGTTCTAACTCATGATGTTTCCTACTGATTTTTAGGTATCTTATTTTGTATTTGTCAAATTAGAAGACAATCGAGTCTGTGGTGTCAAATTCTATATATGTTCCTTTGAAAATTCTCCTGGTGTTTTAGATAGATAGATAGATAGATAGATAGATAGATAGATAGATAGATAGATAGATCGATAGACAGACAGACAGAGAGACAGAAAGACAAGAGATATGATACAAGTATTATGAACATAATCTGAAAGCATGCCTGTTCCCTTTATAAAGTAATTATTGGTGGGGTCTTTTAAAATCCTTAAAAGGTTCCAAAAAGTCCTATCAGACCTCAGCAACTATGGGGGACAAAAGATGGCTCAACATATCCCAGAGTCTCAGAACATCAGTGTCCTATATTATTATCAATTATTTAGTCCTATCCCTTCACCTTGAAGGTAAGGAAATGTCTCAGAGACAAGGATGTGTTGATGTTCACATGCTAACTAAAGCCTATGTACATGCCAGACAATGAGCTTTTAGGCACTCTTCTGAGAAGCCGGAGCAAAATAAAAACCACAGGCTGGACAAAAATAACAAGGTCCGGAGAAAAAGAAGCCGAGAGAGCAACAGAAAGACAGAGGTACCCTGGGTAGAAAGACTAAGAGATCAAGAACAGAGAAAGAACAAAAGTACTAAATAAAGATGCCCTGATCACGTCTGACGAAGGTTAACTCATCGACAGAGACCAGGTAGCAGCAGAGGAGATATTTTAACTTCAGACTGTACAGGCTCACAAAGGATGATTCTCATACACAGAAGCTTTCACATGGCACAGAGGTTTCTGGTCTCTATTTTAATAACTGCAACCTCCCTCCCCCCAACCCCCCACCCCTCTCATCTGAAAATGGAAGCAGTAAATAGCACCGGATTGCACACTTGAAGCACAAGCATTTCTGAAGGTGTGCTAACTATTTCAGGCCACTAGGGTGACACTCCCACCACCCCCCAAGGCACACTTCACTTAATGATCCCCATCTAGACCCCAAGAATGGATGTCCCTCCTAAAAGTGTCCCCTTATTCCCATCTCAGTGGTATCACACGAACTGTTTATAACAGCCTTTCAGTGTCCCCACAGGCTACAGAAAAGTGAAATGCAATTCTAATTACATGGGCAAAAAATGTAAAGGCAGGCGTAGAGTTAGCTCCTGAAATGCAAGGCTGAGAAACACTATTCCACAGAGAGGCAGGCATTCCACCTAGAAAATCCTGCGCTGCTCAGAAAGTGACCTCAGGAGAACAATCACGCGCCTGGACAGAGGCGCGGCTGGCTCCCCCTCCGCGGCTCCTCCCTCCCGCGTGTCCCAGGCCTGCTGGTCCACCTGTCTGGGAAGCTGCTGGGGGCACGGGGAGGAGCCGGGCTTCCGGCTGGGGTGCAGGGCCAGCGGGCAGGCTCCCTCTCCAAGTCCTAGCTCCCCGCGGGCGGGCGCCAGGCAGCGCGCAATGCTCGGATGCCCACCACCCCGCGCCATCCCCGCGGTGCGCACCTTTACTCTGGGGAGGGTTCTGACTCCGGTCCCGGAGGACATTGATCTGGTAGACGGCTCCGTAAGGCTCAAAAAGTTCTTTCAGCTCCTTTTCCGACCAGGACCGGGGGATCTGTCCGACAAACATCTTAATGGCATCTGGGTCTGGTTGGTCTGAGTGATCCAAAGCGCCGTTCATCTTGTTGGCTGTGCCGTTACTGTCAAAAAAGGAACCGGGAGCCAGAGTTAGGGCTGCACGAGAGGGACAGGAAGAAAAAAAATAGGAGGGGTGGGGGGCGGGGAGGCGGAAGGAGGAGGAATCGGGGCACGGGGCAAAGTGCCTAATGAGTCGTGGAAATTTGATGAACTAAAACAAAGCACAGGCACCATTAGGTTGCTTCTCCGAGGCAGCGGCGGCTCTCACTGCAGGCTGCGGTTCAGCACCGCCGCCCGAGCACAGGGCAGCGCCCCGCCGGCTGTCACCCGGGGCGTGGACATCTTGAAACCCCGGCTCTGGAGGCAGCTGCAAGTTAAGTGCAGGTCTTGCTCTGCAAGGCTGCCATCAACACATCCGCAGCGTTATCAGCCCCACACTGGCTTTCGTGTGCAAAGAAAGGCAGGGCTGGATTTCTGCTGGATTTCCCCCCTCCCACCCCTACCCCTCTTGGAGGTTTTTGGAAGCGAGGAGAGAGGTGGTAATAATAAAGTCACATGAAAAGAAAATGAAACACTTGGCAGTTCGTCAGATGACTAATGCAAGATGCTGGTGATGAATTTGCAGAGTGCGCGAGGCATCCATGTGTGCATCAAATTAGTACGTTGTTGCTGCTCAGAATGGAAAGTGCTCCGGCAATGCGGATCGTGCAGCCCGATTGGCTGCCCACGACAGAGAAAAGGGCCAGGGCCGGGAGGGGGCTCCCGCTTAAAAAGCACATTGTTTATGGGACCCAGGCACAAAGGGTTTAATTCAGAGAGGCAAAGGCGATCTCAGAATTGCCTGCTTTGTGCTGGGGGGAAAAAAAATGCAGCCCTAGAAAGTTGAGTTCCCACTAAAGGACACTGAATATTTCAAATCTTTCACACTCCATAAATTGCTCTCTGTATATCTGACTTCCAGATGTTGCACTTGAGTTCTAAACAATCACACGTTTGGGAGAGAAAAGAGGCAAGTCTGCCTTCTCCTAGCTTCAGTAAATATTTGGAGCTGATACAAAGAACAAGAACATAAGCTTTTGCATATCACCCTCCCTTAATGTTGTTTTCCAAAAGCCTGGTTTGGAGGAGCGAATGCTTGCTGAGAGCATGCCTTCCTTTCTAGTCACTAGCATGTAATGTGATGATGAAGGTGTTCACTTTTAACTTGTAGACCATCTATTTGAGCTGTGGTAAATAGGAAAGCAAAATCACATAAGTTCTTCATTTATCTCCCCACCCCCCCTCCCAGGCATCCTGAATCCACCTATTCTGCCAAGTGACAAGGCTGAATGGCCCGAGAAACATTCATTTGCAGTATTGTGCTCTTAGCCTTAGCATCTCAGCCTGTGAAAATAAAATGCACCTAAATAAATGCAAACCTGGCTGTCATCATCTACAAGGCCATGTCTGCTACCACCCCTCGGCACCCAGTCATCAGCCCAGAAGCAGAAACATCAGAATGGGACACATGGATTAAATCTTTGCTATAAATGGCAGGTGTGTGATTTCACTGTAGACTTGGAGTTGTAGTAAGGAGGTATTCAAAGACCAAAGACCTTATGCAGGTTTCCTTATTTGGTTAAACAATCAATCAAAAAAACCCCAGAGTACATTAAACCTGCCGTGGACCTACCTAGGCTAGTCCTGAGCCCTGGAAAGGAAAGACTAGACAGGGATGGCTAGAAAACAAAGAAACTTAAGGAAAGGAGAAATTTTGAATTCAATTAAATCCAAAGAGGAAAATGATGGTAAATACTCTCCACTGGGTCCTGGCTTCAATTTCTGCTGCTTCTTATTCCCTATTTTACCACTTTATTTTTTTTAACCTTGAGATAAACAATCAGATGATCTAACTTGAAGCACTTTCAAAGCTTTCTCTAATCAACCTTATTGTTATAAAAATGTTCTGCTGAATAAAATATTGAGCACAAATTCTGCTTTCAACAATTTAGGTGTAATGTAATGCTTGTTTGTATTAGTGCTCCTTCGCGTGTCTGGTTCTTATGCACCTATACTCCCTTTCAAATCGTCCTTTGAGATTTAATAAACACTTTAACCCTCTGGAGCTGACTTAGCGGGTGGAGGTGGCAGAGCCCCACACAGAACAGAATGTGGTGTTCACAGCATGTTGATAGCTAAGAGTGTGGCAAGACTCATTTCTGGGACAGGAAAGACTTGTGGTTACTGCTGTTGACAATCAGCTAGAACGAAAAGAGGAAGGCATTGCACCAGGTCTCAGAGGCTCACAGAGAACGGAAGTTCAAAAAAATGGGGCTACTGCATCTTGTCTGAACAGAGCACAATTAACACAGTGGAGGAGTTACATGACAATCTATTAGTCCTAACATCTACACTTAGACTTCTAGAGCAAATGTCCCTGAATGTCTCTGCATATCTGGGGCCATTTTTTACTCCCCCCCTCCAAAAAAAATATTCACTGAGGGTACCAAAAGGAGAAACTGACAAGAGGACCTCAATCTTATACCTCTGGTCTTCACGTTGGTGAGTGCATATTTATAATCCCTCTCCCATCAATCATCTTTTATAGATGTTTGGAGACTTCATTCATCTCATTCTGAGGTGGTGGGATGTTTTGGGGCTAAGGGTTCTGAACCTGCCATCACCTCACTGCATCTTAGAGCCACATGTTTAGTACAGGACATGGCAGAGTGTCTACAAGTCTTACATGTCTACTGTTAATCCCTTCTACGCATTTGTGATGCAATCGAACTGAGTGACTGTCATGAGTCTACTTTTCAATCAAAATTTTTTTCACAGTGTAGACTTCAACACAATTCATATCCTAAAATAAAAATAATATTTATTTTAGTGAGCACTGTGGTAGGTACTTCACATACATTATTTTTCATTTGTAATACCACCCAATGAGAAAGTACTATTTCTAGATGCACATATCTGGTAAATAAACTCCTCTCCTGAGATTACCAACTTATAAAATGATAGGAGCAGAATTCAAACCCAGGCCCAGTGGGCTCCAAGGTAGAAAATGCTTATAATCTATCTTGTGGCTATATATTGTATCTGATTTGCCTTGGGCTGAGAGAACAGTTCTTTATGCACCAATCTATAAACAGACAAGGGTAAGAGCAAGACCTACTGTGTCCCCAGAATCCTACTGTCAAATCAAAGGCAGCACTAAAAGAAATATACACCTTTTCTCTTTCTATCTGGTGGAAGGAAAAGGCAAAATGTTCAATTTAATAACCTGTTAAGACTACTCTAAACCCCACATTTTCTCAATAGTCATATAAAGGTGTCTCCAACTCCACAGCTTTCCTTCCTTTCCAGTCCACATGGCCACATCCACGAGTGCCTCTCCTTCAGTATAACCTTTCTCGAGCACTTGTCACTAGAGAAATGACTGTTCCAAACATTTGCATCAAATGCTATGGACATGAAAATCCTTTAAGTGCATCCAACAATGTATAGTTGTGATACAAATCATCAACACAAAAGCACAGCTTCCCCATAAAGCTTCTGTGCAGGGCAGGTGGTCCCACCCCACTGACAGCCCTATGTCGTGGTATGGCCACAGTCCGTTTAACCCCAAACTAATGTGTAAAAGTTCCTCTTCCTCTGGACTCTCAACTTTATTCCTGGCTGATGCTCTTTTTTGAGTGGAGAATGGGACTGAGGTGCTGACACTTTTAAGGAAATCAGAAATATGCACCTATCAGTTAAACCTTTCGAAGTACTTGCCAGAAGCCAGAGAGCGAGCCAATGTGCTCTTCTCAGAGGAGTATTTATGGGGTATTACCCCAAATTTCAGAAAGACCGTCTATTTACTAGAATCTGATTGTGGGCTGAGAAAATGAGACAAGGTCACTTGTCTCCAGGGCACCTGCACTCTCCAGCCATTCTCAGCACCCACAGTGCAGGAATTAGATTCAAATGCTAATATTTATTGAGGCCCTACTCTTTGCCAGAAAACTTTGCCAGGAACTTGACGTACATAATCACAACAGCTCCAAAACAGTCCTGGGGACTCATGGTCTTTTGAGGCCTTAGGCACAAGCACATACATCTCTGCTGGAACCTCACCTACAAATGGCAACAAGATCCTCAGCGCCAGTTGTGCTTTGACTCTTGACAAGACGCCAGCTATAAGACTCCTCCAGGACAGATGCCACGTGGAATTGAACCACAAGTTAGAGAGCACCAAGCCAGCAGACGTTGGTGGCATCAATCTCTGAGCCAGATGAAAATATAATGACATTTGGGGGGGAAAAAAAAGAGTACTGACCTACTTCCCTACTCTATTTTCTAGTACAGAGAACTAGATCAAGAGAGGATATGCAAAATCTTCTGAGGCTCCTGTGAGCAGTACCGTATTATGAAAATTAAGAACTGATTTGATGCATTTGTATTATCATTATTAATTCTAGGGCAACAGCTTTTATAAAGCCCAGTGAATTGTAGCTTTCTTTTGGAGAATGGAAACAAGAATTGATGTTTTTATCCTTTCATTTTCTTCCTTGGATATCAACTTCTTGCACTATATTTCCTTTATATGAAAAGAATAATAAACTTACAAAATGGGTATGAGGAATGCCGAGTGGCTGTGAAACTTATATTAATGCTTAGAAAAAAAGACATAAAATGCCACCTTTTCAGCAGATATACCAATCAATGGCAGAATTACATAAAAAGATGCCTTGGCTTGGAAAAATTTTGTGTAAAGATAGGTAATCTCCCTGATAATTATCAGTAATTTTATTATTCTCACTTCTTTTCCATCTTACTTTTTTGGGTTCCTTTGAATATCCCATGTGAGTGCTAACAAACTTTGTTCAATGAGTGCAAATCTCTGTATAACCTGCCCCGTCCATTATGGTAGCCAACATCTGGCCACTGAACTCTTGAAGTGTGGCTTGTACAACTGAGAACTGAATTTTTTAACAATTTAAATAGCCCTAAATAAAACTCTCCTTGTCCTTTTCTTCTTTTTTTTTTTTATTAGAGTTGAGATTCATCAAAACAAATGATTTCATCAAGACTCTGT